GGAAACAAGACTTCAAGACCACGGCCACACAGCCCGGAAGACCCACACCAGCCATCAAATGCCTGTAAGTTCCTATCTTTGGTTTATCTACTGTGTACAGCTTGGCACAGGAATGCAGTTGCAGGCCTCAGTCTGCCACTCTCAGGCTTCAAAGCTGCTCTTGGATGAATGATACATGAACATATTTGCCTGGGTTTTTCTCTCCTCCATGTTCTTTAGCTGGTGTTCCTCAACTGCGTATGATGTGTGTCTCTGTGGCACATAGTACAAAGAGTATCTATACTAATGTAACTCCAAAAATTATTTATAACCACATCTACATCAAAAAACACGGTGTGTCCCTCAATAGTGGCATGAGTCCAAAGTAAATATTCTATCACATAATGTTCTGAGATGGCAATAAATTGTTTACAGGATAGCTTTTGAAATAAAGCACTGTTTAAGTGTCCTAAAATGGAAGAATCTACAGCATGAAGCAACCACCAGCTGCTTTGAAAAGTTTTAATTTTTACACAGCAGAATACCAGCTGACACCAACAACAGAATCTGTGAAGTTAACATTTGGTATCACAAATCACCTTCAGAGTTAGAACAGTTGGAAACTTGGATGTTCTCTTTAAACCTAACAGCTTGAAAGATAACATCCAAGCTTCCAACTGTTCTAACTTTTCCATCTTACTTCCCTCATATCTTTAGGGAAAGTAGCTATTTGAACAAATGGTGGGGGGAAAGCATCATATGGTCCTATTAGGTCTTGACAAGGGTCTTTGGACCTTCAGGCTGTGTGTGTGTGCGTGTGCGTGCATAATTAGTGAATGAATTCAGAGCATGCTGAGTATTGGACACAGGAACTTAAGGTAAGTTCTAAAAGAAAAGAGGAACTGCTTGCATAAAGGAGAACAAGGGCTCAGAGGAAAGCCCAAGTGTTTCCCCAAATAAAGTTTTTATTGGCCCAGCATATTTTACATTTCAGTTACACAGTATGCTGGTTTAGAGAACACAATATGTTTCCAAGTGCCCCCAGAATGTAAAATGGCCAATACAAACCTTATATTTCTGAGCCCTTAAGATTTTTTCCATGTTTCCCCCATCACTCGCATCTTTCTCCCTTTAGCTTCCCTACTTGGATTAAGTAAATTCCAAGAATTAGGCATGGTAGACTTATTCCTAAATTCCTAAAATAAAGGCCTGTGTCACAATCTCACTGAGCAATCTGGCAGATTTGTATTCTAGTCTAGAAGGCACAAACCAAGGACACAGGAGATGAGGTACTGCAGCCAATGTACTGGGGTGGAGTGGGAGAAAGAATAGTAGATGATGTCCTGGCAATCGTCCTCCTGATATTATTACTATGTTCTCATACAGCACTTTTCCAACAGACTTCAATAATATTTCAGTAATCTCTGCAACAACCTTGAAGGACATTTCAGTATTGTTCCCACATTATTGCTCCCACATCAGAGAAGGGAAAGGGATGAAAATATTGACTAACTCCGTGAGGTGAAGGCCAAGACAAACTTCAGGAACACAATTAAAATACACTTTCTTGGTTAAGCAGTATATATCTCCAAAATATATATCTTGCAAGGATTTTTTAAAATAAGAATGTAATTAACTCTCTTCATAAACTCAAAATCATTTTAGTGTCATTGCTTATCAGGCACAATTTAAGGGAGTGGTATTGACCTTTAAAGCCCTAAGCAGCAGAGGGTCTGATTATCTGCAAGACTATTTCTCCTGCTACAAACTTAGATCACCAGGACAGGCATTTCTGAAACATCCCTTGCCAAAAGCTCAACTATCAGGTACTTGGGAAAGAGCATTTTCCTGCGTGGCTCCCAGGCTTGGAATCTCTAGGAAGATATCAGAATTTCACCCAGGGCATGGCAATAAATCTCTCTCCAGAAATTCAACTAATACCTGGGACCTTGCAAGGGAAGCATTAAAGACCAAGTTCAGTAGATTAGATTAGCCCCAAGGTTTAAGTCTTATTTCTCCTCCTCCTATCTTTATGCCCTAGCAGATTATTTGCTACTCATTTCTTGGCTGTTGGTGAGGGTGCCTGAAGGGGTGTGTGGGAGTTTTGGGTTAACGAGTGGCTGCTTGTTTTGGTGTCAAAATATGTGTGTATCTTCCTGGGGGTTAGGCAGGGTTTTTTCTATTGAGTTGTTAACGAGTGGCACCCTCACTGATCTCTATAAATAGCCACAACAGGGTCACATCATCCTGGGCGAAATGTTAGGAAACAAAACTTCCAGAACACGGCCACACAGCCCAGAAGACCCACACCAGCCATTGTATTCCGGCCATGAAAGCCTTCGACAATATTTTAATGACTGCTTTATTTTTTCTGTTCATTGTATTGATTTTGTTATGTTTTATATTTTGCATTTTTTCCAAAAAAATATAGGCCACCTGGAGGCTTGGAATAAACAGAAAGGTGTGGTAGAAATTCAGTAATAAATAAATTTCTAAAATAAGGGTCTGAGTGGATGTTAGTTGTGCTGTTAATAAGGTGTCCTTGAGATAGACAGAAGATGGATGGGAGCAAACGTGATGCAAGAAGATGTCCTTTAAAATCCTGAATTCTAGTAGGAACTCCAAGAGCTGGTATCACGTTTTCAGATTTAGTAGTTCCACAAGGGCTTTAGGACACAGATCACTAGATGCAACTTGGCTGTGATGTGCATGAATGAAGACACCATTCATTGCAGAGCTAGTCCCTTCTTAATAATGCAATGTAAGAAAATTATATTTCTTGAGATTATAAATTTTCATCATATTTTTAATGAGCTAAGTTAGGCAGTGTAGTGACTTGTTATCCAGCAAGGAATTGGAAGATTTGCTGATCCACCTAAGACTCCAAAATGTCTTGAGTTGGGCTCAACTTGCCAGTCCATGTATACGTATGTACCCTGATATTTTCTGGCGGCCGTTATTTTCAAGCTAATGATTCAGTCTGTGTTTCTGTGGGGTATGTGTGCGTGTGTATGTATTTTTATGAGAGCAAGTGTGACAGAAGTGCTTGTATCAGCACTTCTATACTACTAGCATTTCTACTCTCCAGTCCCTCCTCATGTCTTCAGATTCAGTTTCCTAACAGCCTACTAATTGCTGTTAGATGCCATAATTTTTAAAAATGTATCTGCAGTGCTGGTATAAAATAGCTTTTTAATTGGGGATATGTGCACATAGGGGCATGAACATGTATCATGTGCATAAGCATCTGCAACAAACCAAGATTAGGTCAAAATGGCATCATGCAAGTGATGATGCTATTACACAAGCTCCACCCTTGGGTGCTTGCATCCTGATGCCTGATATTTGTGTCATGAAGTCATGACAGATGTTTCATCACTGTCCATACACCAAGGATGCCTATAATCATGTGTGGGTCCAGTGGTGGGGCACACCAGGGGGCCTGTCCTTGCTGGCATCCAAGGCTCATTGTGATCTTGACCTAGCTCTGGAAAAAAGTAGATTTCCCCATGGACACCACTGCCTTCTTCCAGAATGTTTTTCTGACTTTCTTAGTCTTGTCTACATCTGGGATTTCTGGTGGCCTCCACTCATGACAATATTAATCAAGCCCAGTGCTGTTTAGCTTCAAAACCCAGACTGGGTAATGGTTTGTTCTTGACAAAGACCCACTCATCCAGAGACCACTTCAGATATTAAAATATAAAGAAAGATACAGAATATATCTTTCCTCCAGGGGGCAATGTTTTCCTGTTCCTTCCTGCTCAATGGTAAGAATTCCCACAGAGCCAGAACAGTAAGCAGTAGGAAGATGAATGCTTAGAGAAAAGCTTGAGAAATCCTACAGCTGCAATTTGAAGAAGCTAAAAGTTAAGCCTAAATTAGATGTGAATTTATTAAACATACAATGAATAACTTTCCTTAGAAAAAGAACAATAACGTCTCTAAAAAACAAGATCTAAATTCAGATTAATAGAACCAAGCAATCAGTCATGGAACTATCAGATAATAAGTTCTGTGCAAAAGTTAGAATAATGGGATTAATCAAGAAATTGTGGTATGAGGCTCATACCAGAAGGAGCCAACATTTTTGTCAAAAAGCCTGTATAGGCTTTTTATTGGGCTCACATGACACACAAAGCAACGATTTGATTAAGCAGGTTAAACCAAATAAATCAAAAGTAAAAAAATCCAAACTACTTCCATCTTTGGTTTCTTATTCCCAGCAACTATTTTACCCTACATTTTAAATAGTTCCTAGGAGTTCCTAGAGTCAACTCCAGTTCTCAGTCCTTTGATTATGAATTGTGTGGCAACATTTGTTTGAGCCGGGTTTTGTATTTTCTTTTTTTAGAGGAAGCAACAGAATTTCATCTATCTTTACTTGTAATCGGAAAGCTCAAAAACCCAAGTTTTTAAAATATTCATTTCAGCAGCAAATATTTTGTTAAAACTCAGTATATTTTACAAATTGATCCCATACAGACAGAAATAAGTACAAGTGAGTTTAGTTCTGCAAGAGAACTAGGCATAAGATTGCAGATATGCTTGCTAAATGAACAGTCAGGTTTTATTTGTTCTGGGTGTTTATACCGTACGCTGAATTTTTTAATCAGACTGTTAGTCCTATTAAGTATATATAATAGACTCTGATTAATGAAGTAGCATAAAAACACTTAAAATAAATAAATAAGAGGATAGGTGTATATGTGCGTGCATGCCTGCTTCTGTACATAATGCTATGGTGGTGTCATGATGTCAACCTTACAGGCTCTATTTTATGAAATCCTGAGATCCACCAGCTGAAATCAGTTACAAAGTACAATTACATCATTGACTGAGACATACATTTAGAAGCCTTTTAAGGAGAACCTTGAATACAAAGAGAGAAAGGAGGGGAAAAAAAGAACCTTATTCCTCACCTCCCGTCAAACCTGTGCTTCAGGAAGTCAAACAGGGCTTTCTGCATCATGTCTGTCACCTTGCAGAGATCAGAAAGATTGCAGTAATAAGATCAGTAACAGAGAAAAAGAACCCCAAGTAAGGGAAAAAGTGGAAAAGTAAGGCATTGCAGAGAGTCAAAGTTCTATACATTAACTGTGGTGCATTTAATGAGTTAGTTCTCCTTGAACAGACAGATCCATTTTCATGCTAGGCAGAAAGAACTAAATACTCTGCAGCAAATCTTGAAACTTTTCTGACATGCCTCAGCACTTGCAAATGGGAGAACACAAATGTCACAAATTGCTCTGCTTTTTATACACAACAACTCTTCAGGCCTTCCAGAGTATGTTGGCAGTCTTCAGTTCCAGTCTATGCCTGCCAGAAACTGTCAGAAATGATTCTTCCTTGCAGGCTCATGTTGCAGTTTCTTTCTGACTGAGATTTAAACTATAGAGTTGGAAGGAGAAAATGAAGCCAAATGTTACTTAACTAAATAATTGTTTAAATACACCCATACTCCTATATACAGCTGCCTTCTATGGATAGAAGGGCAGGATAGAAATTGAAGAAATAATCAACTTCCATAAATGGAAAGTAGCTGTAAGAAGTAGCTTTAATGACAGCTGGTTGATCTTGTTTCTTTTGCAAGATGCACTTTTATGTTCTCCAAGTTCCCAAGAAATTGAGAGCATTTTATTTTTCTACTGAAATATTCTAGGTACTAAGTCATAATACATGAAACCACCATGGCTAGATTCACACCCCCAGTGAGCAACATCAAGGAAACCACATGGCTTAGTGTTATGCATTAACCCAGCTGTTCTGTCTGGACCTAACCAAACTGTACTAAGTATTAACTATGATTTAGCAAAACAGGCCAACTTTAATCCATGTTTCATAATCCTAGCTTATATCCATTAACCAGGAATAGGTAACCTTGAGTACATATTTCTTTGGGTAGGGGAAGTGTTTAGGTGCCCATATCACTGCAGTGGGTGGGGTCAGAGCTAATAGTGGGCAGAACCAAACCTTACTGGTTCTCTTTCTCTCTTCTCCCTCTCTTTTTCTCACCCCTATGTAAACAGAAATGTAACCCACACAGTTACGCAGAAGTAACTACATGCATCAATCATAGAGGCATATCCATGAGACTTGTATATATATGTGTGTGTGTAAATCATGGTTTAGCGCTAGATCCAAAACAGATCACTCTGGATGGAAGGAAGGGAAGAGAAGGAGAAAGCTGTCGCAATGGTTGTGTTCAATCTCAAAACACCAGTTTACCCAAAAGCACACAGGTGGGGTAGATCTGCATTACTCTTTCTATCCTCCTAGGATGTTCCCCACCATCCTACAGCTTCCTTTGTTTTTCCTTGGTAAATGGGCACACTGTAAACAAAGCATGGGGCTGCAGTCTCCCACCATTTTTTTCTTCTGAGAACACCTGCGGGACCGATTACAAAATTACTGGAAACAAAGACGATTATAGAGGCTGGTGCTATGCTCTGCAGCGGGCCAGCTTCTTTTGAACTAAAAGTGTTAAAACTAAAATAACACTCTAGAAATTAAAAAGTAGAGTGAAGCAAGGGGCCTGGGAGTGTATATCCTTAACAGTTAATTTTTTAAAAAGGGGAAATACATTGCAGTTATGGCAAAGCCTTCTATTCCTCAGCACAGTTCCCTTCTCTCTGCAAATCTTGGTTTACTCATTCCATGGATGCCGTACTACATCTGATTCAGATTTACACAATAATAAACCTTTAAAGCGGCTTTCCCCAATCTGGGGCCCTGCAGATGTGTGTGCCTCATATTCTATAGCTGGCTGGGTAATATTAGCATTAAATTTGAATATATTTGGATATTTACCAGATTGCGGAAAACATAAGACAACCTTTAGCTGCTATAATCAAATCACATGAAGTGGTCAAACTATCTGATATCGTTTGAAAGAAGTCTGGAATGTCAGTTACTAACAGGTGTGCTTACCTCATAGCCTTTTAGGGAAGGGCCAACTAGCACAACAGGTCTCATGGATGGGACAACATCATAAGGAGGCACATGTTCTGTCTGAAAAAAAGAATGCTCAGTAAACACCTGCTCTTCAGGAGAGGACTGTATGGGATTCTAGCGGGCACTAGACAGAGCTTGTATACTTACCACTTTCTGTTTTTGCTTTGCTGAAAGATAAAAAAAATAAGATGACTGTTTAATTGCACAGCAGTCATACAAACATGAATTCATTTGCAAAATAATTTGGGGAAAAAAGACATCTAAGTTTGCACCCATGTCTTTCTTCTGCTGTTTTGAGAATGATTCAGTCTCTGTCTTCAGCTACTCCTCCCTTCCACAGGAATGTGACTTCCACAGGAAATTGTTAGATGCTCCATGCTACCACAGGTCTCTTGCTCTTTCCCAGAATATGAATATATTAGACATATTTTAAATTATGGGGCTGCCTTGTGCCCCACATGTGGCACACATTCAGGTAAAAAGGATAATATATTGGGTAAGGTGCAAAGATGATAACAACATTACATACAACATGCATGCAGACATCACAGCTGAGATTTTCAGAATCAGTACATTTTGATATAAAATCTTTAATGGAGGAAAACTAGGTTTATTCTTAGGAAACAAATAGCAGGATCTATTAAAAAATCCCTCATAGCCACTATACAGTTATTTTGAAGGCCAATCCGCAAAGATGCTTTCTTCGTCCTTCTAAGAGACCCACATGACCCTGACCAGCACAATGCAAGTTTGCATTAGAACTACACAACAGGATCTTCCAATTCAAAATTATTTTGAAATGTGAATTTATTTCCTTTGAACACTCTGAAAACTTACCAGTGGAAGTGGGCGTAGCTCGAAATGTACCAGACACCATTTCTCCAAGACTTGAAGAAGAATTCCCACTTGATTTCCTATATGATAAAGAACACTCATTTAATACTTGTATCACTCTAAGGATGCTACACAACAGGACTTTGCTACTATTACATGTGCCTGAAGGGTGCACAGACCTATAGTTTCTCCTGCATTCTTAATTTCAGGTTGTGTTGGATAAAAATCTGTATTGGCAATCAGTTGGAACTGACTAACAGGAAACTGGACATGAATTTATTTTCCCATTTTGTACATATAGTAATGCTTCTGTAAGATATTGTTCTTCTTGCTGCAAAATCTGCATAGAGATGGTTTTCTCTGCTATATAAAAGATAAGACATCTTGATGAACAATACCAGCATAATTCATTGAGAACTCCTTGCTATGCTATCTCTACTTTTATACAGGCAGTCCTTGCTTAATGACTGCCCTGTTTAGCGACCACTCAAAGTTACAGCAGCGCTGAAAAAGTAACTTTACGACTAGTCCTTGAACTTATGACCGTCACAGTATCCTTGTGGTGACGTGATCGAGTTTTGGCTGCTTTGCAATTGGTGGGTGTTTGCAACCATCACAATGTCCCACAGTCACATGATCACCATTTGCACCCTTTACAGCCAGCTTCTGACAAGCAGAGTCAATGGAGAAGCCAACAGTAAAGTAGCAAGCCATGGTCACATGATGTCTTGCTTAATGACCACATCGCTTAGTGATGGAGTTACCAGTCCTAATTGTGGTCGTTAAGCGAGAATTACCTATATTATGAAAACTGTCATTGGCATGTGGTGGATAACACTTATGCCTATCATTAATGTCATTTGTGATATCTAAGAACTTGAAATAATTGGTTCTTTGCAAAATAAAATGAAATGAAATATCCTCATGTTTCCTATAAGGCGAAGCAGTACAATCATTAAAATCCACACAAAACTGGCAGATTGTTATATTTTCCTTAAGAATATTCCTATACCCATCTAGGAATATGTGCCATTGAACTCAATGGGACATTTCCTACATATAAAAATGTAAGATTACATATGGTTTTAGCGTAATAATGAACTTCTACTGGAACAAATTAACACAACTATGGATTTCTGTAATTTCTGATTTGGATTTTAAGTTTTAATTTTACTTTTAACTAATAACATGAAAAATTTTATAAGAGCATTTACATCCTCCATTCAGCCACTCAGAATAATCATTTTCAAAATTATGATGACATATGAACTAGCTCCCTATATAAATATATACAACTATCCCCCTTTATAAATATATATAAAGGATAGATCCTGGAAGCAAAAACTATTGGTTGTAGCAGATGTAGCATCTGTTATCAGGGGTAGGGGGGTGGGTCTTATGAACTGCCAAACAGAAAACACAGAGACTGATAAAACAAAAATACTCTGCAAAGTGCAGATTAAACAGAAATGAATTAAGTCAACCTTTCTGCTAGTTGTCAATTGCTCTTCAGATGATTACTACTGATGGGCAATTTCAGAGCACTTGTGCTGTTATGGTTTTTCTATTTTTAAACTAGGTTGGTCCGAGCAGCTCATCAAACTTGAAATAGCATGATTTTTCTGGCAATGCTTCAAGCAGATGATAGTTCTCTATGAACCAGGGCATATGGCTACTGAAATCCTTTATCAATCATGAATTGATGACAGCACCTGGACTTTATTAATTTCTAGGATGCCTCCAAGCTTTAATCTTAATGAAAGATTATTATGAATAAGCTTTAAGAATATGAAGGTATGTAAGAAGGAGGCAGAAAAGACAGAGAGATTGCATGCACAATTACTAGATCCTCAAAACTAGCCTATGCATGTTGGTGTCTTCCAGATATGACTGAGTATAACTCCCATGATTCCATCCAGGACACTATGCTGGCTGGAAATGTTGAGATCAGTCAAGTCCATCCTGATGGCACAAGTTCAGGAACAGTGATCTAATCCTATACAAAGACCTGAAGTCTCAATTTTGTTATTCCCAATTTGATTAGCTTTTCATATGTCAGAAAACAAATGACACTTTTTGAGAGCTACAAGTACTGGACAAATCACTGAAAAGATGAGATCAGCTAAAAGTCAGTTTTGATAAAATCAGTATATTATCTTACCCTCCATGAAAACGCCCTCTCTTCTGTTCTTGCTGGATCCGAATATTCTCCAACCTTAATGGGCTTGGGATGAAGCCAATTTCACAGCCTTCTTTAACTAATCTTCCTATCCACCAGTCATTGTTATATTTCTGTAAAAAAGGAAGTATTTGTTTGTGTCTTCCTTCCTTCCTTCTTTCCACTTAAGTTGACATGCCTTGTCCTGCTCTCTCTTCCCATTATTCCATTCATCCTTGAAAGCTATGTTATTGATTCCTGTATAACTTCTACAATATTTTAATCAAAGATGTAGCCTCCAGAGCCCTTCCAACCATTGCTGCTGAATTGTAACCTTTAATCTTAAGATGCAGGAAATGATTAAATAATATAGGGAGTAATAATATTAACTATCTTAATATAAGTTTAAGTAAGATTATGTAATTGTATTGCCGTGGACTTTTTTTTAATGTAACTTAAAATACATCAGGTTTAGTTTTGGTTCTGGCCCCATCCACTTTAAAGAATAAACCCCTCTCATTCAACTCAAAGATCAAGTGGGACTCCTTAACTAAAACTAGTTTCACACCCCTGCTTTAAATAGACTATTCACTGGGAAGTGGGCAAACAGCAAGAAGAGGGAAGGGAATGGGAAGTGGAGAGAGGGAATAGTTGACGTGTAACATCAAATCTTATGTTATTTCCATCAGAACCAACCTTAAAGCTTCAGTGCAAAGATTCCCTGACATAGTAGAATTCCCTCTGTAGTAAAAATTCAGCATAGGGTGAAAAAACATAATTTTTTTCACTGACATTCTGAGCTGGTATGATTCTATCAGAATGATACCATTTGCTTGACTTTGTCACCTAAATAAACTTCTCATACAAGTGTATTAAGGGGACTGAAATATATAAGGATAAATGTAAATTTTGTATTGAGCCTGTGGGGGAAGATTTCCCTACAGAACACCCAAGATCATCTGCTACCCAAGATCAAGGTGAGAAGAAATCTATTATTCCCATTTGCAGCACAAGCTGCATTTTAACACAGGTCACTGGTTGTCTGTTGTCAAGAACACCTCTCCCTGAAACATATTCTTGGAGTACTTTTAAAGTGTCCAGCGCCAAGGTGTCATTTTCAAGAAGATACCCAGTGTCAGTTACCTGAATGGAAGGAAAAAATGTTGGATCCAAATCTGTAAGTATCCCACTGCTGGAGGAAGTACACAGTTCATCCCACAGCAAAAATCTTGTGCATGATTGAATGCAAGCCTATACCAAACTAAGTTTCATATATTCCTTTATATACAGTATACATGAACTAAACAATATGCTCAGTGTTGCCTTGGATATCTTGTATGAAGTTTACCAGATTCCCTGCCCCAAATGACTTTTTAAAAATATTCTTTTATTTTTTAAAAAAGTTAACGGGAAGACAGCATTCTGCAAAATGAAGTGCCAGCTGGAAATCTTTATTTTCAAGAATGTATCTGCCTCCCACATAAACCCCACAAGCTTCCCTGGAAAATAAAAGTGTTGGATAGCTGTAGCCATTTGCAGGGAAAAGTATATGGGTGCTTTATGAATGGTCATACTTGCCATGATACTTTGTGAATAGGGAAGTATATTCGAGGGGCAGCCATTTTGTAAAAGTGCCATGGCACTTTTTCAAAATTTCATTCACCCCCAAAGGCTGCCAACACCTGAGCTGCACTTTATGCTGATATTATGCCACATACCACCGAGCTTTCTCCAGATCCTTACTTGATCAAAATATGTAAGCATGTATTCAGGGAAGAATCAAATGATGAGCCTACTTTAGGGTTTTTCCTCCAGGTCTTTTTTCCCCTCCACTTGCCAATATTCCAGTGCTACTATTTTGTATCTACCTTTCCCATTTTCCCCCCACTGGAAAAGTGAATTCACAGTGAAGAATGTATAACCCAAATGAATACATAAAACAGAGGGATGGGAGCTTTTTGTGCCTCTGTTGAGCAAATCAGGACACTGAGGGAGGTAACTAAGAAGGAGAAAAGCAAAAGGCAAAGGGAGACCTGTGAGATTCACCAGGGAAACACGTTCTAGAGTTGGGCTATTAGAAACACAATTCATAGATTTATTAATTGATAGGGTGGGTGCTTATGAAGGTGCCTCATGGGAACTGGGGAGTAGGCTTCCAGATTTCTACAGACTGTTTTTTAAAAAAAGTCTATTCTACTTACAGAGTTACTTAGATGCTATGTGCACAGAAACATTAAGTTCATCACAAAACACTTTGCATATGTTCTTCAAGGCATATCTTCATTAATTCATTAATTCATTTATTCAAATGTGTTAGTCACCCAATTCCAGGGGACTCTGGGTGGTGTACAAAACCAAAAAATCCATAAAAAGAGATACAGATGCACATGTCAGTGTACACAGCATAAATATATTTTCTTTTTATTGGTAATTGAATCTGAGAGGTTTATGAATTGCAATAACTGTTGCCACTTAATCTGTTTTAAAAGTGCATAATATACTGTCTAACAGATGATGAATGAGACAGTTTGAATATGCAGTTATCCATTCTTGCTGACATTTCAGCTTGCTACCAAAGTGACTTTGCTTGATGTCTGAACTAGACATGAAACACAGTTAACTGTGTTTGATCCCTAAGGACTTATGATCTATAACACACAAATACAGACAGCCTCCAGAAATTGCTAGTTCAAGCAGTGGCAGAAACTTACCAAATCATTTTTCCGTCATCCTGTCCAACAGAGAAGAGGGGGGCTGTGTATGTAATATACATGCACATTGCTCTAATACACAAAATAGTTTCCAAGCTCAGTATTAAACACCAAGCAGAGTATAATTTATGTCTTGTTAAAAACAATTATATGTACCGTAAAGCACTGTGTTTCAGCAATAAGAGCCCACTTAAATACTACCAAGAACCAGCATGAGGGGGGATAAAAGGGCAGAGGCTCTCTTAAGCATGAACCTTATTTGCCTCTCATCCCAACTGTAGGGTTCCTCCGATTATCTGAAATAAATGTTCTTTGTACATAAAAATAAATTAGAAATTAACATAAAGTTGCAATCCTAAACACACTCACTTGAAAGTTAATTCCATCAAAACAACTTTATTGAGAATACATCTTTTTCTTCAGAAAACTAACTTACATAGGTCCACTTTGCAAATAGATTTTTCCCATTCTAGGCTTGAGTATTTTTTCCTTCCGGGTTTCTCCACTGAACAAAGTAGACATGGCCAGCTTCATCCAAAGTTGAAATTGAAAAATGGTAACTAAGGCTTTAGATTCTGTACATTCTGTTTTAACGTAATTACCACTCAACTTAATGGGACTCGAAAATAATAATTAATTGAATCATGTGGTAGGTGATATAGATTTGTAATTGGTAAAGTTAGTTTTGCATGGAAGTAATAATGAGAAAGGCTTAGGATGAGATGGGATCATTCCTACCTAGCAAGGACTGGAGAGAGGGATGTCTTCTCTCCTACAAATACTCTAATTAAATTATGCCCCCATTACATACTTTGAATAATAATTAAATGAAAGTGAGCATGTACACAAATATATATCATCATACAGTTGTAACATGCATAGGGACCCAAGGTTTGTAGTTTGGTTACTCACAAAGTGGAAGCAGCAAAATAACTAAACCACTTGAGAAATAGACGTTCTGGTACTAGCTGAATATTAAAAGACAGATGGCACTGAAGCCCAATTCATATGCTACCTTTATGGCACAATGTCTCCCAAAAATATGCAATGTAAAGGTATTATTTTTATAAGCAAGATGCAAATAAAACCATTTGCTCCTCATGGCTTCCCAAGCACTCCTAACTATTCCACTAAGGAAATCCAGTAATGCAAAGGTCTACGTTTTGTTCTGTTCAAGGAAAAATGAATGAGTTCAAGCCCCACTTGGTTCCACTGAGGCTTGGAATGTCATGTTCTCAAGTACACCATCTCTAAGCTGTTTGAAATGTCAGTCAAGATAAGCGAGTCCAAATAACCATGTTTCATCCAGCCTTTCCCAAAGCAATGCTACTGGATTGGATGGATTTCAACTTCCATAATACCCAGCCTGCAATGACTAAAAGGCCACGCTGCTGAAAATTATGGAAGTTGAGGGTCAACGCTTCTAGAAAGCAACAAGATTGTGCCAGTCTCTTCTAACTGAGTACCATGCTGAGTAAAACATCGGCTGTTTTTCCACTTCATTTAGTACCTTGCACACAGCTCAAACCTTGCTGAGGTTCAAGCTCCTGGAAGAAAATGAATATTTGATTATATAATTTACCTCTTTAATGTGCAGGAAATCCTTAGCATCAAAAGAAATGGCAGTGCTTGGTACAGGAACATCTTCATCTAGTGCTCCACAGTAGCTCACATTAGTCTTCACAGCAAATGCTACAGGTTTGGACTAAGAAAGAAATACACTTTCATCACACGGGAGCCAGAAAGGACAATGGCCAGTCATGCAAAGCAGATAGAAAAGCTGAAAAGGTGTTAGTCAAATAACAGGAAACATGGTCATAAGGGAAAGACAACAGCAGAAAAAAGAATAACCACAGCAAACGTTTAGCCAGTTCAGCTTCAATCTTTGTCCTAGTAAACACATGCCCAAAATTTCAGCCAGAGAGTAGTAACTTAGGATATGGTCATTTTTATAACTGTAGAATCGTTCTGAAGGTTTCTGTTCCTTCCATATTATACTCTTCTCCAAGGACAAATTTATACAATTATGCATAATGATAATTCATCTGATCATTCAACACTAAGTGACAATTAAATTAGGCCTCAAATACATGTTTATATTAATTATTCTCTTCTTTAACAAACACTGCCTGGCTGTATTCATACAAAATAAGCTGGGATGTTTTAAAAAACATGACATTCAAGCTATAATGACCTGCTTCACACATCACACTAAGCTAAAAGCAAACATACCGCTTTCTAGAGTAATGTGATGTGTGAACCCAGCTATACTTCCAGGGATTTATATTATTTATTTGCAATCACCTTGTATGATTTATGGACCTTCATGTAGGATTCAGATGACACAGTGCTTTATTTATAATCAGTCCATTTCTCCTGCTGACTGTAAAAAAAAAGTGTGTTGCAGAGTGCCCTATTTAAGCAGTCAGCAGCAGGACAATGAGGAACTGGAGCATGGTAAGATGGCAAAGAAACACCAATTGAATGGAACACAGAATGAGTTACGTTTGACCCTCAACTTGAATTAAAATCATTTCTGAATCTAGCACATCTTCGGTGCTTGCTATACTTGCTACATTTCATCACTAAATAAACTATTAAATCACTCATAAATCAGTTTCTTTCTCAATTGTTACTAAGATAATAGCACAACGGTCCTGGTAGATGCTATCTTTTGAAATTGTAATTTAAAAAATACCAAATAATATACAGTGTGTGTGTGTGTGTGTATTTATTTATTTATTTATTTATTTATTTATTGTATTTCCT